ATATATAATATATATATATATATATATATATATATATATATTTTAATCTCTAGCAATACTGGGGATAGAACCCAGGGTTGGTCTATCACTTAGCCACCCAGGCCCTTTTTTCTTATTTTGAGACAGAGCCTTTTGGGGGATGGCAGGAGAGGGGGCTACTGGGACTGAACTCAGGGGTACCACATACCCAGCCCTTTTTTGTATTTTATTTAGAGATGGTGTCTCCTTAGTGTGTTGCTTTTTGCTGAGGCTGGCTTTGAACTTGTGATCCTCCTGCCTCAGCCTCCCAAGGTGCTATAATTACCGCGCCCAGCTTGAGACAGTCTTGCTAAGTTGCTGAGGTTGGCCTTAAACTTGAGTTCCTCCCGCCTCAGCCTGCTGAGTCACTGGAATTACAGGTGTGCTCCACCATGCCTGGCTCACACTTAATCATTGTAGTGATTAATGTGATGATTCTGTGGAGTGTTCAAAAGTATTTATAGAAAAATGTTAATAAAGAAGTTATATATCTTGATTGTCATAAAATCTATTTACATGTTAATGAAAATTGAAAGGTATTTAAAACTAGCAAAAATCTTTTTTAGGGTAATGTAATTATAGTGAAATTTAAATATGTAAGTGTTATGGTCAGAAGACAGTAGTAATCAGAAATGGCTTTGGCGTTTACTTCATTGCACCTTTTAATATAGGAGAACGTTATTCATATCAAGTTTCATAATATGCAAAAATGCTTTAATTCATTTTGGGTGTGTAGTGGAAGTATGGTCTGCTTGGGATCAGTTGTCCTCCAGATGTGGAGTGTGGTTCTCCTGAGGTGGGGAGGCATGGGGGTGTATGAATAGGGACACCAGGGCCAGGGAGCCTGAGTGGTGTTGGTAGTGCTTTCTTATCTGAAATGCGTGTTTCTAAAGGGCTATTAGATAGCCTATGTGCTTGTGTGTACATATGAACTCTTATGTTTCTCATGCAGTCATCTGAACAACTTGCAAGAGATTTCTCTAAGGAACTGTGCAGTAAGTTGTGCTGGTGAAAAAGGAGGAATTGCCAGAACATGTCCTAGTATCCTTTTCATGGATTGCTTATTCCTGAACCTGACTTTGGATTTGATAATTGTGCCAGACATTGCTAGTTGCATACTCCATGTCCATTCTTCCCAATTTTCTTCCTATCAGCAACTGTTTTTCTTGGGGCAGTTGGTACCCAGATAAATTAGCTTCTCTGACTCTTACTTGCAGGTGTGGCAGTGTGACTAACTCTGGCCAGTGAGATGTAAGGTGGAAGTTTCTAGATGGGGCTCTTTCCAAGGGGCCACACTTACTCATTGCCTGTGCCTCCCTCACACCTGAGTGCAGGTGGTATGCTCAGGGCTTTGGCACCTGTCTTGCAAGTGTGGAGAAAGACTGGAGTGCCTGGAGAGCAGTGACATAGAAAGGGAAACAGTGGCTTTGAGGGTGCTTCGAGGCCAGTGCCCCAGCTTAACTGCCCTGTAGTGATGTCCTTTCATGAGACAAAGAAGTGTTGTTCTGCTTTCAGGCAGCTGACTGCAGTTCAATTAGTCATTACCTCTTCTCTGCCTTCTCTCATTGTGTTTTTGCCATGTATTGCTTTTATGCCCATAACTAAGACAAGGTAAGTCAAATGGCAAGTCAAATAGACCTTCAAGTTTTCTCCCAGTTCTCTAAATCGGCCTGAGTGCTACATTATAATTTATGTAAAATGTAGCAATTTATGATTAATTACTTTGGCTTGCGATAAAGATTGCACATAAAGGAGCTCTCCTTAGCAAGCTGTCTCCTGATGGTGTGACTTAAGGAGTTAAGCGGAACTCCTCCCCTAAGCACTCCCCTGGTGGTCTCTTGGGACCTGGGGATGCTGTAACATCTAGGCTGGCCATTGCTGTCATGAGTAGCCCTCTCTGATTCCAGTGTGCTGCACAAACATGGTCACTTTGTGTGTAAGTTGGACATGGAGGAGCGACTGATAAGGAGCAAAATGCCACAGAATGTCTGTAGCATCTGGCTTCTGCCTGCCCCACTCCTAAATGATTTCAGAACATCAGGAACCAGGCAGTCCAAGGCTCTTTCAGTGTAAGAGAACATCTGGTCAGTAGGCTGTTTGGCTGAAGAGAGATGTTAGCAGCATACTGGAGAATCAACATATTGCTTCTTTATACTGCTCTTTCCCAGGGAAAGAGACCCCCAACACTCAAAGAGGTTCCAAGAGTTAATCACACTGTGATTGGTCTTTGTAGAAGTGATCACTGTCTAGTTCTTGAGCTCCTGATGACACTGAAGTATTGCTATTGTATAGAATGTAGCCATCCTCCTTTAGGTTGATCCCTCTTTTTTTCCTGGTACTGAGGACTGCACTCAGAGGCCCTCGACCACTGAGCCACATCCCCAGCCCTATTTTGTGTTTTATTTAGAGAGAGGATCTCACTGAATTGCTTAGCACCTTGCTTTTGCTGAGGCTGGCTTTGAACTCTGGATTCACCTGTCTCAGCCTTCCGAGCTGCTGGGATTATAGGCGTGTGCCACTGTGCCTGGCTGGGTTGATCCATCTTTGAGGTCGTTCACTGGATAGGCAGTGGAAGGGCTATAGATCTGAGCATGTCAACTCCGAGTGCTCCTCCAGGGGAAGAGACCAGCCA